GGCAACCTGGCCTCTGCCTAGGCACAGTCAGTTCCCCACAGTCAATTTCCTCTTGGGGTTCCCACAAGCATCAGAAAATTCACCCTCTTCTGGCAAGTCCCTGCAAATACTGAGTCAGAAAGTTATATTTGGGCTTTTCTTCAGCTTTCTTTCTTGTGGTGTTAATGTTCATACATTTTCTCCCTTAGAGGTTCCAAATTTTCTTCTAAATTACTCAATTCAGTTAGGCAAATTTTTATGCTGGATCTTTTTTTTTTTTTTTTTGGTACCCAGGATTGAACTCAGGGGCACTTAACCACTTAACCACTGAGATACATCTCCAGCCCTTTTCATTTTTGTTTTGAAATAGGGTCTCACTAGTTGCTTAAGGCCTTAATAAGTTGTTGAGGCTGGCTTTGAACTTGCCATCTTCTTGCCTCAGCCTCCTGAGTAGCTAGGATTACAGGTGTATGCCACTGCACCCCACACTGCATTTTTTAAATATACTTTTAATTTTTTTTTTTTGATGGTGCTGGGGATTGAACCCAGGGCCTTGTGCATGCGAGGCAAGCACTCTACCAACTGAGCTATATCCCCAGCCCTACTTCTAATTTTTTATTGACACATAATAATTGTCCATATTCATGGGGTGTGACATTTTAATACATGTATAAATGTACAATGATCAGATCAAGGTCTGAATCTTTTCTAAAGCTGTTGATCTGATGCTCTGGTGTTGAGATAACTAAGCCTTATCTGAGAAGGGTCAAGCATTTATAGGGTGAGATAGAAAGCTGCTTATATCTTGAAATGAATTGAGAATTGGAAAAAGAATAAAACCACAGGAAGGAGTAACTTGCTATGCAGACAATAAGGGTGCTTCAGACCTTATCTGTTCCTCTCTTGCCCCAGGGCAGTGGCCTTTCTGCTTTCCTGCCAACTCAGAATCCCTGGATGAGCCCCTTTAACTCCTTCAGGCTTTCAGGAAAGTTCTGCCTACCCATTAAAACTAATAAGAGGCTCATAGTGAGCTTTGAATACTGGCACAAAATGTCTTTTAGTATATATTATTAATAGATTTTTCTAAATTAGATCTTGTACAAATTGTCCTTGGTCATTCTGTGTCTCTGGTAGCAGATCATCTGGCCATTTAGCTGGGGGAACAGTGGGGAATTGTTGAGGTGGAGTGGGGCTGAATAGAGACGTGGCCCACAGCTGTGTGTGGTCTATGTAGGTGGAAACTGCTCCCTGTACAAACACAGGCTGCAGGTTCCAAAAGAGCAACAGAGAAATAGGATCTAGCCAGTTACATCCTTCTTTAACACAGGACTAACCTGGTCTTCAAAATGTGATCACTTTAGTGATTCAAAAATCTATAGGTAAAATAATTTTTATTTCTAAAGCTAAAAGAATTAATGCATACTCCATGGGAGGCACTGTGTGCAAATATCAACCATAAATTGTCTGAACCGCACAGCTGCTACAAATAAGGATCTGAAGTGCCTCATGATTCATCTTGACCCAGGTTACTCTGCTAATTAGTGATGAAGCTCATGTCTTTTTAATATCAGGACAATGAGAATATTTGCCAGTGGCCTTCAGTTTGTGGCTCTAGCTATCAAATTCCCCCCCCCCAAAATAGTATATTTTCTCTAAGAAAACCTCATCATAGAAGGGGGTAGGTCAGAGCTGAGGTTGTAGCTCAGTGGTAGAGTGCTCGCCTGGCGTGCATGAGGCACTGGGTTTTATCCTCAGCCCCACATAAAAATAAAATAAAGATATTGTGTCCACCTAAAACTAAAAATAAAATAAGAAGGGGAGAGGTCACATTTTCTATGAAATATACTGTTTTGCCTTCTTTCTTCTGTTATAACAAAATACCTGAAACTGGATAATTTATAAAGAATTAAAGTTTATTTAGAGTACAAATTTAACGTGGGGGCAGTCTAATTCCAACATGCTGGCATTGATAAGGACCTTCTTGGTCCTCATAACATGGCACAAGGCATCAGATGATGAGCCAGAGCAAGTGAACTCTCTCAGATCTCTTTTCTAATAAAGCCACTACTGCCACTATGGGGGCCCCACCTTCATGCCCTCATCTAATCCTAACTATTTCCCAAAAAACCCACCTCCAAGTGCCATTAAGATATGAATCTGGGTATTAAGTTTCCAACATCTGAACTTTCAGGGGACATAGTCAAATCAATTTGACACTCAAGCCTATCTAGAAGAAATTAGAATAAGGGACTTAGAGAGGGAAGCTGCATGGTAAAAAGGGTTGTCAGTTCAAGAGGCATTTCCAGCATTGTTATGGTTTCTCTGATGGAGAGAGGAGGCAGAGAGGAGACCTAATAGTAAATCTGCAATATTATTGGGGTCACCACTGACCCATAACTAACTCTGTTCCCCCATCCCCAGGTCTTGCCAATTGTGGTTTTCTTCAGCACTGTGATGTCCATGTTATACTACATGGGATTGATGCAGTGGATCATCAGAAAGGTACTGGGATTGGGACATACATGGTGACAGGTGCAGAGTTGATTATTTCAGGTACAAAGTCTTAAATGCCTTTTATCCAGGCATTTCCAAAGTGCCTTTCTCTTCCTACAAATATTCACCTCCATCACCAAAGTTATTACATTGAAACGCCAAATCCTGCATGTGCCCATAAGGGGAATTTTATCTCAGGGTCTTCTAATAGGGCTTTGATTTACAACCCACTGGATAACTCCATGAAACCACAGCAGTTACGTCTTTAACCAAGCAATTGAGGTCAAATACCTGCCATGGGGAAGTGGTGTTGATCCCTCCTCACAGTTACCTACACTAGGCCTCATACATACTGACAACTTGTCTTTAGAAAGTTACCAAAGTAGGTACACGTCGTCTTAGAGTTGCTAGAGAAATTAAAGCAGGAAAGTGAAGTGTTTTTCACTCTGGGGATGGGGGAGTTTTATAAGCACACATTTTTATTTTTCTAAGTAAGAGTTAATCTCATTCATGCTGCTCCAGCAATTGAGTTGTACTTTCATGTCAGATCAGAAAACTAGATATTTGTAAGCTAGTTTGGATGCACATGGAAGCAGACCAGTGCACACAGGGCTTGAGGGACAACCACAGCCTTCCTTTGATTCCTGTAAATAAATCAAAATATACAACCAGAAAGAGAAAAGATAGGAGAAAGAGAGAAAGAAAGAATAAGAATACCAGCAGAATTTGCAATCACAGTGATCTCCAGTACTGATAATATCCTGATTATTGGTTTATATATTCAGAATTACTGCACTCACATTTAGAATCCAAATTTTTAAAGTTCTGGTCATAATATTATTTGATGATAATATGGAAAATGCATAGGAATAATTGCTTTATTAAAAGGAGAAAAAAGGGATAGGGATGCAGCTCAATGGTAGAAGACCTGCTTAGCATCACAAGGCCATGAGTTCAATCACCAGAACCAAAATAAAGCAATTTTTTAAAATAAGAATGTATATAGTGCTTGTGTGAAATAATCTCACAGAGAAAGAGAGAGAAAGCCTTAAAAACAAATACAAATATGTTAAAAAATGATCATAAGAGTCTTTGTTGTATCATAAATGCATGTAGATAATGTTATATATAACTGTCAATGAAGTTATACATCATTTTACATCTTGATTTTCCAACCACTATTCGATGTAGCCATTTTCCCATGCTAATAAATAATATCAAAAAGTAAATGTTTTTTAAAGAAAGAATTACCATACTCATATAGGTAAGTGGGAAGAAAGGAAATAGAATTCAACAAGAAGTCAGCATCCTGAGATAGGTATCATGAAAGGTTTATTAGTCACCTTTCCATTACTATGATAAATATCTGAGATAATCCACTTCTATAGAAGAAAGGTTTATTTAGGCTCACAGTTTTGGAAGTTTTGGTCCATGATTGATTTGCCTTGCTGCTTTGGGGCAGGGAATGCTTGCTCACCTGATGACCAGAATGTGAAAAGGGAAAGGAATTGACTGAGATTCCACAATATCTCCCAATGGCAGTGACCTAACTCTCCCGCCAGGCATGGCCTTTTAAAGTTTTCACCACCAGTTGATAGTGATACAGTCTGGAGACTAAGCCTTTAACACATGGGGCTTTGGGGGACTTTTCAGATTCAAATTATCACAAAAGGCCAGTACAAACAGTAGATCCATAAACCACGTTCATTGTTTAATCTCACTGTTTAATAGTTGACAAAACCACTTTCTTTGACGAAACAACTACTCTGTACTTTGGTTTCCTCTTCTGTAAAATGTGCATAATGTATAGGACATACTTCAAAGAGTAAAGATTCAGGGCGTTGCCCAGATCAAGGGCTTACAACCGTGCCTGGAATGCAGAAAAGCCCACCATAAGTGTTAACAATTATCACTCATTACTTTTATAAAGCATATCTGTAGAAATCATTTGTCTAATGTTCAAAAGTCTATACAATGACTCAGACTTACCACCCTTACAGGAGGATTTGATCAGCCTGCTCTATGGGCTAGATCACCAACCATCACCAACCAGTCCATGATTATTGAAGGCCTCAATATTTTACTCCAGTTCAAAGACTTTACCCCTCTTTGCATTTTGTTATATACACACAGTTCATCACTAACTTTGTCCCTTTCTTCCTTTTAGGTCGGATGGATAATGCTTGTTACTATGGGCTCATCTCCTGTTGAGTCTCTAGTTGCTGCTGGCAATATATTTGTTGGACAAGTAAGTTGCAATACCAAGAAAGCAAGCAATACAAGACATCTGCTAAATGGATAGTCTCTTTCTGAAACACACAATAGGAAAATACCATGGTATTGTCATTTCTTTTAGTGTGGAGAAAAAGATGTAAATAAGGAACCCTTAATTTTGGCAATGCCCAGGTTCCAGAAAGAAAGAAAGAAAGATACCTCTGAAGTGTTTAGATACACTGGTGTGGAATTGGGTTCCTGTAAGTTGTGAAGAAAACAAAGTCGAGATATTTTATTAAAGCACAGGGCTTCTCATAAACAAATTCTCACTACAGTTTTTTCTGAGTTCATTGAATTGTTGAGGTTTCTGGTTGACTCTTCAGAAACAAGCAGCTCATCTCCTCAAATGGATTCCACTGTCTTAAAGCTGTAAACATGTAAGAGACAGCCTTGTATTCTACACTGCAATGCCTGTGGCAGTAAAGAAAACCAACAAAGGCCTTTTGCCAACAACCATGCAGCTGTATAAATAATTCTCATTCTCAACTTGTCCAAACTGGCCAACATTCTGTCTTTGCTGAGCGTGAGTATAAAATGCCTTTATGTTTTTTTTCTTCTCATTAAAGATATACTTTTGGGCTACAAATTTCATTTTCTTGATTCATCACAGAGATAAATGCTCTTTTGCCTAAAATCCATTTAAGCAAAGAAATATGATGCCAAGGATGTCCCTCAATATAGCAGTATTCCTAAGAGGTGGAAAAGTGAGGAATGGTAATAAGCTACTCATCCCTCAGGATATATAGCTTCAGGGAAAATGGAATCATGCACCAGTGAAGCCAAGGGTGAATATTGGCCAGAACCACTGCCCAGAGAAATTGGACTTGAAGCAAAAATGGAGTCACCCAGTGAAACACAGCTCCAAATGCCAGGCTTCCTACTGCTCCAATTCCTTCAAGCAGATTGAGCCTTCTTGGTAAGCTCAGCTCACCAGTCTGGAGCTCTTTAGTGGAGATAGATGAAACATACTTCTTTCCCCTATAAGTTGAAATTAGAATAATTACAGTCATAAAATCTCTTAGGACTAATTAGGGCACCATCTTGAGTTGATTGCTACTACCGGCAGGATAAGAAGGCTCACGTATTTGGACTCCTATTTAGTCTATAAACTGAGGCTCAATGCATTCAGTCTTATATAACAATTAGAAATAATGAGGAGAAAATTGTAAAATTGCACCCATGCTCCTGTAGTACTTAATTTGATACTTAATATGCTGAAAGCACACCTATTATTGATGGAGAGCCCTACAGGGCAGGCAGGCTGTCCTCCTTAATGAGATTTGAGTCTACACTCTGTCCAGTTCCTTTCTACCCATAAGAGAGAGATCCTCTGAGTTTCAATTACAAAAGTGCCTAAGGGCACCTGTCTTTGTAATTGCTGGTATTTTTTTTAATACACCTGTCTCTATTTTCCTGAAGTCTTCAGAAACAGGTCTAGTTTGTCTAAATGAAGCTAAATGGTGAAAAGTCACAGCTCACAAGAAATCCCCAGTCCATGAGCCAGACCACTGGGCAGTTACTTGGTCAGCCCTTAGTAATGTACTCCAAGTCCTCATAGAATCCAGTCCTAGGCTAGGTGGAGGCACCCTATAACTAGCTTCACAAATGTCAGGGTTTACCCATAAACGTATATGACAATGACCTAGAGCTCAGATCACGCAGCCGTTCTCAAACTTGAGCATGCCTCATAATTACTTGGAAGACTTGTAAAAACACAAATTGCTGAATTTGTTAGAAAGTCAAATTCTCTGATTTCATAAATCAGAGAATTTGAATTTCTAACAATTCTCAAGTGATGCTGATGGAGTTCGCCCAAGGCTGACTCTTAGAAACATGGATTTATAATGAAATGTGGTGCTGATTACACACCTCCTTTAAAATTTTAAAGGTCACATTTAATCCAATTACCCTTCACTTTCTTCAGACAGAGTCTCCATTGCTGGTCCGACCATATTTACCATATATCACCAAGTCAGAACTCCATGCCATCATGACTGCTGGCTTCGCTACAATTGCTGGAAGCGTCTTGGGTGCATACATTTCTTTTGGAGTAAGACTGTTTTGGAATTAACTTATGCAAACTTCAACCTCTTCTTTATTTGCTGTTGTTATTCATTTATTTTTTTTCTTTCTTTCTCTTCTTTTTTCTTTCCCATTGCCAGTATAAAAGGAGGCCAAGAGAGTGACTTTTTTGTAGTATGGCAAAAGTTGGTCAGTTTTCTTTGGCATTTGAATGTAGTGACCCCAAGGAGATTGCGGTCTTCATTTTCATGTTCTTGCCACCTAAATGTGAATTATTTCCAACCACAGCAGTAGAAATCATATGGTGAAGTTACTTTCACTGGAAGTTTAAATCTTTTTTAAAAAAAAATTAAAAACTATTACTACTACTAATAAAGATTTTAACATAGGTCAGCCAACTATGGACCACTGGCCAAATTCAGAGCATAACTTATGTTTGTAAATAAAGTTTTATTAGAAACTAGGTACTCCTATTTATTTGTCTTTGGCATAGTTGTGGCCTGCAAAACCACAATTATCTACTCTATGACCTTTTCAAAACAGACTTTTGGAAACTTGACCTATAGCAGTTTTTCTCAAATCTTACTACACATTAGAATCACCTATAAATTTTCAAAGACCCTAATTCCCAGGCCCATAGCCCACTTTTATGTAAAAATTTTTGGTATTTACTAGTATTTTTAAAACTTCTCAGATTTCAACTGAAAGCCATGTTTGAACTGGTGGCCTATGGTGTAGGTCTGGAGGATGCTGTGATAGCCAATATGTATGCTCTGTGCATAGGCTGATAAGCCACACATTGACATAGACCTTGGCAGAGAAACCTAATCGTATAGGCAATACTCTGTGATTCAGGTGACTAAGATCTCTTGCAAGACAAGTGAGTTTCATTCCAGGTTCTTCATTCAAGCTGGGGACAGCCAAGTAGTAGAAAGAAGGAAGAAGAAAAGAGGGAAGGATATATTAGAGATAAGCAGTATGAATGGATCCCTAGATTATTCACTCTGCTCCTACTGTGGGAATGCTGCCTTTAAAAATGGGCTAGGTCAGCTATCCCATTTCTTGGTATTTATCTTAAACAACTGAAATCAGAATGTTATAGTGATATATGCATACAATGTTTATGGCAGTACAATTCACAATAGCCAAGTTATAGAACCATCCTGGGTACCCATCAACAGATTATATATATATATATATCTCACTCACAATGGAGTTCTACTCAGCCATAAAGAAAAATGAAATTGTGTAATTTGCTGGTAAATGTATGAAACTGGAGAATATCATGATAAGTGAAATAAGTCAGACTCAGAAAGTTAAGGATTGAATGTTTTCTTTCATATGTGGAAGATACAGAGAAAATAAATCAATAAATAAGGCTCTCATGAAAATGAAGAGAGACCAATGGAATAGAGGGCAAGGGAAGTAAAGGGCAAGGGAAGGTACTAGGGAATGATGTCAAATTATGTCATGTCTATCTACAAATATACCACAATGAAACCCACTTTATGTTTGATTATAGTGCACTAATTTAAAAATAATAACAATAGAAGGAAGACCTGTAGAGAAGATGGACGGGATGGGGGAGGAAGAGGATCAGGGGGAGGAAGAAATGGAGGAAAAGGAGAGGTCTTGGGGAATGAGACTGATCATCATGTTATGTGCATGTGCCAACATATCACAATGAATATCACAATGAATCCCACTTGTATGTAAAAATTTAATGCTCAGAAAACTATTAAAAATGAAACTCCATCTTTAACTTGAAAATAATGGGATAGGTGTTATAGGAATGCAGAGGGAGACACTGGATATGGGATTTTGAAAATGTAGGGAAGAGAATCCAGAAACAATGTCAAGTATGTGGAGTGGGAAGGAGAAAGAGTAAACTTGTCATGAGGAAAACAGAAATAATTTCCAGAATCAAGGGGACTCTGGATAAAAGCATATTATGTAAAGACAAAAAGGATTCCAGGAGAGCAAAAGGAAGGTGGAGAGGGGGAATATCATGCCTTTACATAGATTAGGAATCCTGTCTCCATGCTAGTCCACCCCAGATAACCCATTTAAATTGATGATGAAATGAAATATAGGCTAAAGGGACTATATGGGCATTTAAAAAGACAACATAGAGGCTGAGGAGTCTTCTTTGAGAGTTCTTAAAATTCACTATTACTAATCTTCTGAAATTATCAGATTTAGGCTTTGTGCTTTTCCTCCAAGAATGTGTCCAATTAACTTGAATCTCTTCTCTGTCCCTCTGACTCTCAGGGTGATGCCATGGCTTGGCTCATTGACAAAAGTTGCTCTTCCAAACCTCCAAAGAAGCATTGCTTTCTGGCATAGAATTGACTCCCGTTCCATCTCTTCCTTATAAGGCTTTTGAATCATTTTCCTGAATATAAGAGTAAAGCTCAGCTTGTTTGCTTCCTTTCTTCTGAAATTGCAGGTTTCATCCACCCACTTGTTAACAGCTTCAGTTATGTCAGCACCTGCATCATTGGCTGTTGCTAAACTATTTTGGCCTGAGACAGAAAAATCTAAAATAACCCTCAAGAATGCCATGAAAATGGAAATTGGGTAAGTGGGACATGTTACCTAATCAATGACTGCGTTAGTCGGGTTCTCATTTGCTATGATTATAATACCTGACAAGAACAACTTAGAAGAGGAAAAGTTTATTTTGGCTCACAGTTTCAGAGGATTCAGTCCATGGTCACCTGACTCTAAGGCAGAAACATGGCAGAAGGGCATAGTGGAAGAAAGCTGCTCAGCTCATGACAGTGGGGAAAATAGAGAAGAGAGGAATGGCCCAGGGTTAGATAAGTCCTTATGGGGCACATCCCCAGTGACCTATTTCTTCCAACTAGGTCCCACCTTCCTATGGTCCATTCAGCTAACGATGGTGCAATCCAGCAAACACCTTATTGTATTAGGAATTGTGCTTCCAACTCGTGAGCCTTTGGGGACATTCCAGATCCAAAGTATAACAATAACTAACAAGTTGGAACATGGAAGTCCAAATTCAAAATAGAGCAAAAATTTGATAAAGAGAAAGCACAGAGTGGATTATGATATTAAAGTAGATTTAATTTCCAGTGATTAGACTTTACCAAAAAACATCTTTCTCAACACTTCAGGAAAACCTTTCTAAATACCTGAATGCCAATACATTTCTTTAACTGTTCATCATAAATATATTTTATTGTAAATACAGCATAGTGTTCATTGAGCTTTTGTTTAATGGTATTAGAAAGCCATAGGATGAGCATTTCTGGAGTTGCTTTACATAACAAGAAAGTTCATCTTCTTTTTTCTTGTGAAAAAGAAAGAAAAAGGGGTGGGAAAAATTATAAGATTTTAAATGTTCAAAAGTATTTCATTAAATAATAATTCATAGATCATGATGTGTCTAAGAGTCATCCCTTATTTGTAGAGAAGTCAAGTCATAATTGTGAGTGGAAAAGCAAAGTTGCTGAAGAATACAGTAAAGGTTAAGCATTCCTAATCAAAAATTGTAAAATCCAAAATCTAAAACTTTTGACACTACAAGTGAAAAAGTCCATACCATTGAACTTTGTCTCATGCACAAAATTGTTTAAAATATAACATAAAAACTTTAAGTCCATGTGTATAAGGTATATGTGAAACATAAATTAATTTTTTATTTAGACTTGGATCTTATCCCCCAAGGTATCTCATTATGTATATGCAAATATTCCAAAATCCAAAACACATCTGGTCCCAAACATTTTGGATAAGAGACATTCAACCTGTAGAATGTTTTCACTTATGAAGTTAGCAAGCATGCATATTTGTAGGATATAACATTAAGGGATAAAGCATGTGGGAAAATTGTAAAGAAAGGGAATGATAAACAGAATTGAGGGAGGCAGGTACTTCTGAGATTAGAAGAGTAGGGAGGGGTTAAGATTACACACTGGGGAATCATAGGCATACCAAAGTACTTGACAAGAGCAACTTAGAGAAGGAAAGCATTATTTTGGGTTCTTGGTTTCAGACGTTTAGTCCGTGGTCAGCAGACTCTATTGCTCTGGACCCAAGATGAGGCAGAACATCATGGCAGAAGGGCTGGTGGAGGAAAAACATTCAGCTCATGGCATCCAGGAAACAGAGACATTAGTGACAACCTATTTTCCCCAAGGTTATGCCTCCAGCATCCTACTTCCTCCAGATACTACCAACCCACCTACAGTGACCACCCAGTAGTCCATTCAATTTATTAATCCATCAAATGGATTAAGCCACTGATGAGGTTACAGCTCCCCTAATCTAATCACTTCACCTCTGAACATTCCAGCATTAACACATGAGCTTTTCAGGGGACATCTTGTATCCAAATCATAACAAAAGGTGATGGGACATTCCATTTCTTAAATGAGGTGACAGCTATACAGGCCTTCTAAAATTATTACTCTTTATACCATGAATATTTTATAAATATTGTCTGATAGCTACTTTCAATTAATAATTCTAAACCTCTACTTTTAAATCATTTTCCAATTTTTATTACAATGCCCCAAATTTAAAAAGCAACATTGAGGCTGGAGGTGTAGCTCAATGATTGCACAAGTATTTAGCATGTGTGAGGCCCTGAGTTCAATCTCCAGCATCATAAAAAAACAATATTA